TTTAACCCCGTCCAAATGGTGTGTGATCTGATGAACTGGGCACCAATCCCCGATAGATTGTGGCTTATGCCCAGCGCACCGCTACCTTGCTGGTAATGTTTGGCGGACTGGTTATGAAATCCATCAGAAATATCTACCCACCTTGACCTGAGCAGTATTACCCCAAAGTGAAAATCACGGAACCGTGATTTGTTTGTCATAGTCTGGAATCAGACAATTGTGATATGTGTATATATTTATATATGTATATAGTTTTGACCAAAAACGATCTATGAAGTCAGTTGATGGGTGGGAATCACATTCCTGAACGCACACCCTGGTCCCGAGTCATGCAGTTTGCAGTGATTCGAAGGCTATACGCTTACGCGTGTTACAGTTGCATGCGAAGTCGCTTTAGAAAGCGGCTAGTGGTGTATTGTTGGCGGACTCTTGGCCAAGTCATCAGGCACTCTATGAAGTTTAGGCAACCCAAGTACAGAGTGTGGGCTGTTTCCTGGGTGTAAAGGACGAGATGAAAGTTTGATGGGACCAGGGTCTTTACGGTTTCGCATTAGGTATCCAGTTTGAATTATTTATCAGACTCATACAGACGATTTAGATTAGCCCAAGGGGCTGATCCGACAGGCCTGTTCTCTGTGGCTCTTGCGCAGCGGTTGGCAGTGTCATATGAAACCCCAAACGACTCCATCGTGTATATTAACCCTGAACAGATGAAAGACATTTGGACCTGAAATCTTCCACTCTGTTCAAGATGCTATTAATCCACTCGTAAATACTGTGATTGCTTATCTGCACAGCATTAGCCGAAAATCTGTCAATCATTTGTGAAATCACCGCCACCGCAAGGAGTGCGCAATCCTGCACGGGAACAACATTACACACACCTCAATTGAATATCTTCTGTAACCATTTCTCATCTATCATCGTACTCCCCTGTGAGTATTTGTGAGGTCTGTCTACGGGTTTCGCATTGGAACAAGTGTCCTCAAACATAGATCATCACAAGCTCTTTGTCTTCGACGATGTGCAGTAAAACGCAGCACGCGTCAATTCCGTTTCGTCGAGCTCTGTTTTTTAATTATCACGCCACAGTGAAGATACGTCCACAAACCCAATGAATACAACCGGTTTTCCCACCTACTACCCGGAGTAGAGCATGTCACTGGTTCTGAGTAATGTTGATCAAAATCCGAGCCATTTTATTGAACATTTCACAATGTCGCTTACAAAAGTCCGCACGTTTAATGTCAGACGCTGTGCCCAGAAGATAAAATGCAAATAAAAACGTGAAAACACTATCCTCGTGTCATTCTATTCCCAAATTCTCATTCGTTTAAATAGTAGTCCACGATCGGAAATAGACGGATACAAAACATACGAGTATAATGCCAATGAATCTGCATTGTATTCGCAAACCATTCCATCAGTTCGATTCCGATTGGAGTGAAACTATTTGAAATACGTTAAGCTAAAAATCGACTACCGAACAGACGTTGATTTAGCCGTACACTTCAGTCCGAAATCATTGAAATGATTTACTATCGGGTGTAGCGTGTGTGTGCACAAGCAAAAGCAAACATAACAGAAATATTTACACGTACGGTGTGTTGCCAAGCGATCCCAATGGAGCGTAAGCCGAGACCGTCAAACCTTTGGATTGTGCATATCGGACTAGTTTCTCGTTCGGGAAGTTTGCGTGAGCTTCGATTTGCAGATTGACCGGTTTGATACGACTGTTGGCCATGATAAAATCAATTTGACGTTTATTGAAATTCGATAAACCGATCGATTTGACTAGACCGTCATCAACAAGTTTTTCCATCGCCTGAAATCAAAGCGAATCAGGAACGGGGAACCAAATTTCGATTCTCGAGGTTTATTGCATCATCAAACACGTTATTCTCATCATGAATCAAACGAACCTGCCATGTGTCCAGCGGAGGGACCGAATCCAATGCATATGTTTCTCCGTCTTCAGCCATCGGCATCAGACACTCGCCTGGCTAGTAAAGAGAACGTTTATCACGTGCTGGCAACCCACCTGAAACGCAACTGGCCAGTGCACTAAGAACAAGTCCAAATACGATAGCTGTAAGTCTTTCAAACTCTGCTCGCAACTTTTCCGCACATTTTCCGGTCGTACATGGGTGGGCCACACCTAGAGAGAAAATACCAAAGTTAGGCAAACCAAATGGAGAGAATCCGTTACCTTTGAAGTGACAAAAATGTCCTCGCGTTTCAGTTTGAGTGACTCGAGTGCTTCCTTTATTGCCTCGCCAATTGCCTTTTCATTTTCATAGAAAAAAGCACAGTCAATCAGACGATACCCAGCTTCCAGAGCTGTTCGAATATTTATTTTCATTTTCTCTTTTGGAACCTATGAATTAGAACCATTAGTTCATATTTAGTTGTAACAAACACTGCTCACCAGGTAAGTTCCATATCCGAGGACAGGCATTTTCATTTCATTCGATAACGTAAATGTTGGTATCTCCTGTGACAGACCTGCACATCCGACAGAGAAACGAATGAGTCAAAAAGTAAATTGATACATGTGATTTTTTCATATTACCTGGTTCACATAGTTAGGGGAATCACTTGCGAGACTGCTGTATAGTCAATACTGTGCGAATCGGGTATATTACGCGAAGAATACGCAGAGATCGAACATATCCGAGTTTAGAAACTCTCAAGCTGACCGCATCATTAGCGCAGTTCGAGAGCTGACCAGAAGTATCCAGTATAAGATCACGGTGATTGGGACTCATAATGGTTTGTAAATAAATTCTATCATCTACGCACCTAAAATGAGTCATTTATTCGCGAGGGAACCTGTTTTTGATCAAGTTTTCTTCCCATTTCACAGAGAAATTCACAGTCATCATGGAAAGTATAGTATATAAATCATCACAACATCAGGCATTATGTTTCTGTTGTGTTCCCGATTCAGTAATCCCGGTGGAACAAAAGTGACAGATACTTATCAGCCAGGATCAGCATAGAAACCAGTGGAGCCTACAACTATAGCTCAGGAAAAGCCTCAAGAAAGATAGTCAAAACTAGTGGGCCAAGGTAACCAACGAAATGGAGGTAGCTCATGTATCAGATAATAGTCAAAGTCTGTTTCACGTGATACGCAGCACCGGAGGTCGTCGCATACCGGTCAGTGAGACCATTTGCAATAAAAATGAACAAGGTAACCGCAATGAAGAACAATGACTTGATCGCTAGGAACCGTACTTCGGTGGAATGTCCAACTGGCTTGGTTCTAATGCAATGAGTCCAGTGATTGTAGCGGAAACTCCATGGGTGGTAACATGTGGGCCTCCAACAGAAAAAACGGAAATACGACGTTTTATTCAATCAATCCTGGTGGGGAATCGTTGATGGTTCCGATCTTTACCAAAGGATCATGCAGCGACTGCGCAAACCACCATGAGATAAGCTTAGTTCTGATAATCACAAAAGTGGTAACTTCCGCGATACTTCTGCACCTTGGGCGAGATGAATATTTGTGAAGAGCGAGCAGCATTCAAACCAGGTCACGGTTGCTTCGATCAAATCTGCACTCTGCATCGATTTCCCGAGTTAAGTCACACACATCGTCGACCGATAATCGCAGTGTTCCTTGACGTAAAAGGAGCCTTCGATTCAGTTGACCTAGAATCCCAAATAGGTGCATTGCTCCGCATAGGAACGCCTCAGAAGTATGTAAACCTATTACGATCACTGTACTTGCATACTTTGAGTAGCATCCAGGTCTACGGTGGGCTAAGCAAATTGTTCGAAACCGCGAGTGCTCTATTTCACCATTCCAATTCATCTTTGTCGTGGATGAAATAGTGGAGGACACACTAAGTGGTCTCCGAAAAGTTGGAATTGAATGGGCAGCTGGAGAAAAGCTGTGCGATTTAGAGTATGATGACGGCATCGTTTTTCTGTTCGAATTTATGGAGGATGCGCAAAGCGCTTTTGACAGATCCTTAGGTTCTGTAACGCCAGTTGGTATGCGCTTTGTAACTTCGAAAAGCGAAGTGGTGCTACAAGATTGGGTGTCGTCTGGCGCGGCGGTGATACTTGATATTCGAAAATAAGTTATAGGGGACAGTTTCTCCAACCTATGCAACCGCATGACAAATGACGGTAGCGTAGTCAAGGGAGTAACCGGCCGTTTTTCCAAGGCTCGAACAGCTTATGCAGAACCGAAACACCTTTGGTGCAAGCGTGATGTTCCGTTGAAACTAGTAGGTTCCGTATGCTGTGCCAGTGTGTGGTCATTTCTGCTTACGATTGCGAGACCCTTAATTTGCGTGTGGAAGGTATTCATCGTCCAGATGATTTCGACGAGTTGGATGGAACGAGCGTATAAGCAACTCTGAAGTAAGCCGTCGCGTACTTGGTAACGATGTGGTTGAAAATCAGTCCCTACCTTTTCCAGGTAGGTATCTAGCGCGAATTGCGGTTCTCAGTTTTCCTATTTACTACAGTGACCGCTCAGCTGAACGCTACAAGTCCGTCAAATGTGTTTAGGAAAAAGCCTGAACATGATTTCGGATTTCGATCGGTGTTCTATTTTTAGAACGGGTGGGACAGCTCTGGCACTGACCGATCAGTTTCGGCTGTTGTTCTTGGATTTCCCAGATTGGAACGCTGCTACCACCAGCGCTACCACCACTATCAAATCTTGTCTACAAGAAACTATTCTTTCATTTGGCTCAGTTTATTTACCGGATTAATATGCCTTCAAGTAGCTACCCAATCCAGAAGCTGATTCCATCGATTGAATAGGAGTAGCTAGCTGTGATAACGAAGGTTCATTTCTTCTAAAATATTGTGCTTCTTCTTTACTTTGTCTCTACATTCAACATGGTTTCATATCGAGTGAGATCGATTTGAATATGGAAAGACATACCAAAACTGATACGGGCTAAGTGGATTCGAAACCAATACAACTATCCTTTGAAATTGTTGTTTGACAGATTGAAGTCTTATGTTCAAATGGGTGTTGTCGAAATTATACTGAACCATCCAACTACTCGATCCCTATTAAGAAAAACCTGTTGGACAGTTCGTGTGAGAACATGGCTCACTTACACCGGAGCCCATGGGTACTGTTTGTCTATAGTGCACCAAATAGCGAACCTCAGAAATGTCAGCTATGATTCTTTCGCTGGTAGATTTTTTTGGTTCCATCGTCTTGATACATGAAGTGTAGTGAAGTACGATCCGGAGTTGCGTGTTATATTTCGTTATATTGCAATGCACGCACACATTTCGATACGGTAAAACGACCGTTGAAATCCAATCACATTTTTCCATGGGTTTCATGTGATCGACCGCTTTGCCTTGTGTCTTGTATAGAAGGTTACTCGGAAAACCGTTGTCTGCTAGTTCTCGTCTAAAAAATTGGGCCTCCGCACGTCTATCCCGCCTTGTTTTAGGTAGACGGTAGGCTCTATTAAGGAGGTTTGTTGCCACGCTTCGTTTGACGTTCACCGGGTGTTTGGAATCATACGCCAAGTAGCGGTTCGTATGCGTAGGTTTTCTATAGACTTTTGTGTTCAGTTGACCAATTTGCAGTCTAATAACTTGACAATCTAGTGAGCTTATTTCCTTCTCACTTAAAACCACCGTGAATTTGATGTTTCATGGTGGGAATTCAAAAATAAGGTAAATTCTTCCAACGTGTGTTTTTCTATCACTACAAATATGTCGTCTACGTATCGCCACCAGATTCTAGGAGGATTCATGAAGGAATTGAGAAGTTTGCATTCCAAGTTCTCCATGAAAATGTTGGCAACAATTNAAATAGCGAACCTCAGAAATGTCAGCTATGATTCTTTCGCTGGTAGATTTTTTTGGTTCCATCGTCTTGATACATGAAGTGTAGTGAAGTACGATCCGGAGTTGCGTGTTATATTTCGTTATATTGCAATGCACGCACACTTTGAGCGACTATGCATGAAGTCTCGAGGCAGCAGCAGTACAGCGGATTCCATATACATTATTCCTGTGAAGTTAAATTTTAAAATCCTGTGGGATGCAACAGAACTAATTTATTCCATAATGTCGATCTAAACCTCTCTACAAATAAAGCGAACAAATGTGGATTAAGTGAAATTTTGAATAAAATATAATCTACTGAGATTCGTTGTAGGTGAGAGGTGTGTTCCGTAACCGGATAAGCATTGAAGCAGTTTCCGATGTGTTTGTTCCCCTTGAGTCTTGTCTGACAACTTTGGGTGATAGTATGTAAAACCAATGACTAGAATCTCTCAGATAGACAGACTGGATGGTTGGATAAGGCGTACGATCTTTCCGAACTACATTGCCATCAGGATATTTGAATCATTCTTGGTCGGCAAGCAAGACCAACAGCGGAGTAAGGCGACAATTGGAAAAAATCTGCAATCAATCTGGCTTAATGATTAAGCACCTCATGTAGTTTTGCATAAAACTATCGCAGATAATCTACCGGCATTATAACAATATCTCTGAATAACTATTATAACTCAGATTCATTCAAAAAAGCAGAGTTTTGTCCAAGTAATGCGATCATTATGATAATAATTATGGAGTGACCCGAAGAGTCATTTCCACAACCACTATTCACCTCGCCAATGCTGACGAAAAATTCGACAAATTTAAGTCACATTGAGAGAAAATTATGCAGCATGTCTTTTTCTCAAACGTTCGACACAGTCAACTTCAAACTATCTCTTAATCAAAATTACACACAATGAAAAGTGAAACAATGTATCTAAAACTCACTCATTTCGGAATGATACGTGACGAAAACGAATGTGAGCTCGATTACGATCGGATTTTGTGAATGGCCGGTTGTGCGAGCGCTGTTTATATGCATCGACCGCGGCAGTTTATCAATTTCGACATGGTTCGAGTCAGAGAGGCCCCAGTGACCATCTCATGGTAAAGGACGTGGAAGGGGTGAGGGTGTGAGCCATTTGTGACCAAACACGTATACAGCCGATGAACGCATATCACGCCGATAACATTTAAACGATGCTATGCACGTGACCTCTTTCGATTTCACGCGGCAGCTGATATGCAAATAGGATTCCGAAATTGGATTGTAAAATCACATGTAGTAGAGGATGTATTTATTGACCCGAAAATCCATATGCATCAAAGTGAAACAGTCAAACAGATTACTCTGACGCAGTCTAAATGACAGCTATGCGTCGTTTGTCAAAAGTTGTTTTCAAGTGTAAACTTTGTCCGGTTTATCATTTCGAAGTGGTGCTGTTGTTAATTTTGGGGACTTTTGCGAAACAAAATAGCGAAACACGAAAGACGGAATTGGAAGAATTTATTCATGTGGTCTGTTTGCTTAAGATCAATTACTACCATTAATGTGGTTTCTACGAATACGGAAAATTGTAACTTACATATTTGCTAGCTGTGCTTACTCGGTATCGCCTGCGACAGACCTGCATGTCCAATATA